ATTTGCCTGGTAAATATTCACTTTGTACTAAGCACTGTTATTCTGCGTTTGATGTGTATAGTTATTATATGAAGAATTGTGAAGGAGATAATGAAGCTCTTAGGTATCTACCTCTCATTACCAGTGGCCCCACACATCCACCCTCTTAATGCTTCTTGTCGTCAAGCATTATTTACCACAAATGACTAAGTTTACACCTGAGGCTGATAAATACTTATTACTATATCGCCCTCCCTTGTTCTGAGTTGGTCCTGTCTCCTCCCTTCAAAATTTACCTGCTCTGTGCCTCACGTTCCTACCACTCTGCCTACTTACTCATCCAATTTGATCAATTCATTTGATCAAGAGCCATGCTAATATGAAATCCAGTAAGAGAAACACCAATATTTTACAGGCTCTCAATGCCTTTTAAGAGTGATGTGTGTATATTTCAGATAACATCATAGGTTACTGGGGCAACGACTTCAGTTAGTGGATCATCTTGGACACTCCAAAAATTAATCCATGAATGTGGTATAGCCTTGATTACATTTGTTGTACTTGATCTGCAACTTTTCACTATTGAATTAAACAAACAAAATTCGTACCTCGACAGCAACATCTCCATCTTTTCCTCGGTGAGGAATTTCATATGCCTCCATTTGTTGCTTTGTGAGTCGCACTAACTTTTCAGCTAGTTCCCTCCAGCCTTTTCCAAGCTTGACAGCCGAGGTCAGAATAATAGCCTCTTGGATGAGATGTGCTACTAACCCTTGGCAATCCATCTTCAGCAGAGCCTGCAGCAAGAATTACGTGTCATAATTAAAAGCAATTAATTTGAGCTTTTTTCTATAAATTAGAATTTTCATTATATATTCTAGAAATGGAAGTCCTTTTTTCCACCACCCATATAACTGAGTTTTCTAAAACTCAAAAAGTTGATTTACTTTTAAGTAAATTCAACAAGGAAACTACAGTTGATATTACTAAACAAGAATTAGGGGATATTTAAGACTAACTCTGTGACTAATTGTAAGACCTTGGATAAACCACTTAACTGATATGTGTTTTAATATCTTTGATTGTAATAGCAGGAAATTAATCTAGACACTTTCAAAGGTACTCTGAGGTTCCAACAGTCTATAATTTATCAATCCAGGTTGATTATACACTCACAAAAAAATAACGCCTTGCTTTACCAGAGGATTGGCTACAAGATTTCTCTAAAGAGTGCGCGCATTGGTAATGGTAAACATTACTCTATTTTTCATCAAATTGTGATTTAAAACTTCCCAGAATCATGCGTGTCGCATAAAAATGAGACTCTCCTTCAAACTGAACAATGCTCTT